TTCTAGTAAATCCCTGTGTGTGTGTGTGTGTGTGTGTGTGTGTGTGTGTGTGTGTGTGTGTGGTGTGTGTGTTTGTGTAGTGGATATATATGTGTGTATGTGTGTGTGTGTATATGTGTGTTTGGTGTGTGTGGGGTGTGTGTGTCTTCATAGTTCTAGCTTTGCCAGCACGGTGAGGGCAAGCAGACAAGGAGCAAACACGTCCTTCTTCCATGTCCTTATATAGGCTTCCATATGTATATATATGGAGAGAGAGAGATTCATTCTGTAAGTTCTGTTCCTCTAGAGAATCCTGACTACTACAGAGATCCAGGCAACTTTAGTTTTATCAAACGTCATCTTTATTTCCTTCTTATCCAAGGCTTGAGGAAAATGTGTTTACATGAAACACGAAGAATGGTAAATTTGAGAACTAATAATTAAATGTAACTAAGAATTTTTACATTGTTATTGTATTATACTATATCAGACTTATCTACATTGCTTTTGTTTTATATTGAAGCCTTGAGTTCTTGTAGAGAGAAAAGCCATGATTTAAATAAAAAAAAAATAAGGACTTAAATATTCACTTTGGGAAAAAGCTAAAGTACATGAAATTATTTTGGTAATTATCACTACTTATTTAATCTATACATTTAAGAACAAATCTAAATAAAATGTTCAGACATAAATATCACATTTTTACTTCCTGTTTTATATCATTAAAGCAACAGGTTTTGGAACTCAGTGAAAATAACTTTTTTTTTTTCGAAAATTGAGTCTGACTGGCCTGGAACTTGCTCTATAGAGAAGGCTGGCTTCAAACTCAGAGCTCCATCTACTTTTGTCTCCCAAGTGCTGGAACTAAATGCATACATCTCTATGTGTGACACAAAAATAAATGTCTCAAGTAAATACATCTGGAGTTTTTTATAGTTCACAAAGTCACTCATATATGAAGAATGCCATGGTTTACTTTTAAATGTTATTTATCTGTTTACTTACACAGTAAAAAAGGCAATAAGGTGCTTCATATTGCCTTCCAAATATGCTTTCTCTTGCCTGGATTTATTCTAGGTGAGTCACAAAGCATTTCAGTCTTATTTTTAGAAATAGGGGAATACAGAAAAAGTCCTTACTATAGAGCCATTTAAAATAACTTGTGTGGTTTTCTTCAGGAAGGAAGGGTGTTGTCAAATGTCAGGGCCATCACAGCGCCTATAAAACAGGTAACAATTTTTTCAAAATGTTTATGGCTACAGCTATTTTCATTCAACATATAAAGTAACACTGTCATTGGCCTCCATGGAATTTTATGGGAAATGGAACTAGTGAACTTTGTCAAAGTAGGTATTTTCCTCTTTTTCAAAAAGTCATAGCTCTCTGAATACAAATAACTAAAAGGACTCTTTCCACTTATTGTTTATAATTGTAATCTGACAAGGCACCATTTCAAGGACAATCATTTTCCTACTCCTTGTCCCTTGTTTGTTTTGTTTTATTTATTTTTTATTTTTTTTTAATAAAAAAATTGTATTTACTTAGAAGCATTCAGAATGTCAACAAAACAGCCGCAATTTTTTTTTTGCAATTACAGAGTGGTATTCAGTTAACAGAACAACAATTATCTTCGTATAAGCTGCATCAGAGACAACTGAAGATGGAAAAAAAAAACCCAAAAATAAAACCAAAAGAAAAGAAAAACAAAAACCAAACTACTGTCCCCATATATAACTAATTTGTGCTGTGCACCAACAAGAACCTGCTTTAAATTTCCATGCCAATTTACAACCCCCAGACTGTACCAGGCAAGGTTAGTGGCTATTGAAAATACCACCAGGACAGGGCTATCTAAAGACACATTCGGTAGTGTGTTAACTATACAAAAAAAGACACTGTACAGTTTAAAAACAAATCTTACACAGCCTTACATTTCAATTTTTTTCTTTAAAAGGAGTGAGTTGTGTACAGGGGGGTTAAATGCTTTATAGACAAGAAAAAAACTGCGCTAGAACCAACTTATTCATCATCATCATCTTCTTCTTCATCTTCGTCTTCCTCTTCTTCCTCCTCTTCCTCATCTTCTTCAAATTCCTCATCATCTTCCTCTTCCTTCTTTTTCTTGCTCTTTTCAGCCTTGACTACCCCCTTTTTTGCTGCATCAGGTTTTCCTTTAGCTCTGTAGGCAGCAATATCCTTCTCATACTTCTCCTTCAGCTTGGCAGCCTTCTTCTCGTAGGGCTGCTTGTCATCCGCTGCAGTGTTGTTCCACATCTCTCCTAGCTTCTTTGCAACATCACCAATGGATAAGCCAGGATGTTCGCCTTTGATTTTTGGGCGGTACTCAGAACAGAACAAGAAGAAGGCCGAAGGAGGCCTCTTGGGTGCATTGGGGTCCTTGAACTTCTTTTTGGTCTCCCCTTTGGGAGGGATGTAGGTTTTCATTTCTCTTTCATAACGAGCCTTGTCAGCCTTTGCCATATCTTCAAATTTCCCCTTTTCTTTAGCAGACATAGTCTTCCACCTCTCTGAGCACTTCTTGGAGAACTCTGAGAAGTTGACAGAAGCATCTGGGTGCTTCTTCTTGTGCTCCTCACGGCAGGTTTGCACAAAGAATGCATATGAGGACATTTTGCCTCTCGGCCTCTTAGGATCTCCTTTGCCCATGTTTAGTTGATTTTCCTCCGCGAGGCACAGAGTCGCCCAGTGCCCGTCCGGCTCTCGCTTCCCCCGGCGCTGTCTCTATGGAGCTCAATGTACTGCAATGGCTCTTGTTTTATTTTTTGAGACAGGGTTTCTCTCTGTAACAGAGCTCTTGCTGTCCTGGAACTCACTCTGAAGACCAGGCTGGCCTCGAACTCAGAAATCCACCTGCCTCTGCCTCCCAAGTGCTGGGACTAAAGGTGTGGGACATCACTGCTGGCTTGTTCTTTTTAAAATATAGAAAGTTTGAGCCGGGTGGTGGTGGCGCACGCCTTTAATCCCAGCACTTGGGAGGCAGAGGCAGGCGGATTTCTGAGTTCAAGGCCAGCCTGGTCTACAGAGTGAGTTCCAGGACAGCCCGGACTATAAAGAGAAACCCTGTATCGAAAAAATAAAAATAAAAAAATAAAATAAAATATAGAAAGTTGAAAAAAATATGACATACTATAATGCAGTCCAGGTAAGGAAAAAGAATCCAAGCAACATGGGAGATGGTGATTTTTTTCAGATACCAATAACTTGCTAGATTTGTGGGTAAATTTTATTTTATTTTTTGTTGATTCATTGTTTTCTATAATATATGAACTTATTTATTAATAAAACAGGATTATATATAACATTAGATCTCATTTGTGTGTAGTTAATATACCACTGACTTGCTTAATATAAAGCTTTAAGGCTTTTGTCAAAACATATGTGCACACCAGTAACTCCAACACACTGAGACAGTAGGATCACAAGTTCAAAGTCAGCCTGTGTTACATAGCAAAATCTTATTCAAACGAAAAGGAAGAAGAAAGAAAGTCTCAAAAAACAGTAATATACCCAATGGGAAGTTTTATTTACGTGACTGGAAAACTGAAAAGAACACATTTTCACAATTTTAGAAGTGACAAATATCTGTATTTCAAATATCTTTCTTCCTCAAAGGATTTGGAAACTTCATATAATTTGCATAACCCGATTAAGTTCTTTTGTTCTAGTTAACCTCATATTTCTTACAGTATGTTGAAAGAACTAGTATTTAGTAGTGCTGTGTTACAGCCAGGGCTACACAGAGAAACTCTGTCTCGAAAAACCAAAAAAAAAAAAAAAAAAAAAAAGTAGTGCTGTGTTGACTTTAAACTAATTTTTAAATTAGCATTCATAATGAGTTTCATAATGGCGTTTATACACATTACAGTTATATCTCATTCTAATTTGTTCCACTTCTTCCCGCCTCCAGCCCCTCTCCCCTTCACCCCGGTTCCCAAAGCTCCCTGGTTTCCTTCCTCTACTAAATAGTCCTTCTATTTTGTGCTCCTTTTATTAGTTCCCTTGTATGCGAATACTCTGTCTATCCGGGTCCTCCTCTCTTAAAATCTCCATTTTCCTCTCTAGTGATTTCCTTTCCTGTTTCATATCTCACACACGTCATTATTTTGGTGAAAATGTTTGAAGCACTAATAGTCAGTGATTTGTTGCAGTTATTTGTCTTCTTGGTTGTAAGGTGAGGAACAAAACACTTTCATTAGAAGTGTGGTAAGAGACCCGTGTGATCTGTTGAGCTTTTTGGAAACTGATGCTTTAAGATCTAAATGTGTTTCCCTTTAAATTATCAAGCTAGTTTGCTTCAGCCCCAATGAATTAACTGCACCGGCCCATTTCAGAGGCCCTGGAAACCCGGTGTCCCTGCAACCCAGCGAAATTCAGTACTTTGGGCATCTTGGGCTCGCAGTCCCTGTGGTCCTGAATAGGGGGCTGGTGGAAACTCCGGCACCTTCGTGGGGTCTCTAAGATTTCTCATAGCGGGTTCCTTTTGTTCTTCCGTTCAACAACCGTGTGATGAATTTCAGCTTCCCTTCTCTCTTTAGGAAGCCCAGTTGAGTCTCATTCCACGACCTACTAAATACAAAATGCCGTCGTATGATGCTACTTCGTTTGGATACTTTCGAAAACGGGTTCTCTCTCTATAACCTAGCCGGGGCTATCAGGGAACTTGCTATGCAGTACAGACTAGTCTCGAACCTATGACCCCGCTGCCCCAGCTTGCCCAGCGCTACGATGACGTGCGAGAATTCCCATGCTGGTCTCCAGAAAAGATGCTCAGCAAACAGTAAGCATAGCCACGCTCGATGGTTCCTCTGTCAGAAACAGCCGTCTCCGGCGGCTCGTCAAGCGCGCCCTTCGCAGAACCAAAAGTCAGCACGGCGACTCCCCACCGAGGTGCCTCGGGACCTGCTGAGTCTGGTTCCGGGACTCCACTGAGGAACTACAATTCCCAGCATCGGAGCTACACGGACTCCCGGAAGCCGAGGCTTTGCCGACCGGAAGCAGCTGAGACCCAACAGGCCTGAGGTTAATTCAACCAGGAAAGTGGGTGGGAAGGGCTGTGGGGCACCTGTCAATTCGCCACCATGAACGTGGTCTTTGCTGTGAAGCAGTATATTTCCAAAATGATAGAGGACAGCGGGCCCGGCATGAAGGTACTTCTCATGGATAAAGAAACGGTGAGTTCGCTTTTGCTCAATATTTATAAAGGAAGCTCTCCCTCCCTTAGAATTGCTGGCCCCATTCCATTGTAGATCTTAGCATTTCACTAATGACGATGATCAGTTTTGTCTGGCACTGGAAAAGTTGTATAATGCTTTGCCAGTGGGTGTACAGTCTAACCAGCTCTAACTAATGCCAAGAGACTTCTTATACCTGAAAGAGTGTGTGCCAAGAAGTTGTTATTGGTGACACAGAGAGGACTTCACTGAACGTTGTTTTTAAAAGTACATTGTTGGGGCTCAAGCTGAAATGACAGATTATTTGTTGCCCACAACTTAAAAAAAAAACTATAAAGGAATGGAGAAAATTCTCTTTAAAAGTTTCTGAGTTGTTCGTGTTCAGAGAGGGTAGTAGGTTTTAATTCTAACACATTACAGCCTGTTTTGGATGTTTAGTAAATATTATTCTGTATATTAGAATCTAAATTACCTAGTCAAGTATTAATGGCAAAAGGCTTAAAACTATTGATGCATGTTTTTATTAGTCTGGACTAGTATGATCTTAGTTCGTTCTTTTGCTTTACAGACTGGTATAGTGAGTATGGTCTACACACAGTCAGAGATTCTTCAGAAGGAAGTATACCTCTTCGAACGAATTGATTCTCAAAATCGAGAGATCATGAAACACCTAAAAGCAATTTGTTTCCTTCGACCTACAAAGGTACTACACAAACTGAGCTGCCGTCTCCGCAGGCAAATGCAGAGTACTGATCCGAAAGTTAAGAAGGCAAAATAAATTTGTGTTACCATCATTTGTGGCATCATAATTATCCTGTTTTGTCAGAGTTGTGACCTTTCTTCCTCTCCTTTTCATGCCTCAGTTCACCCCTCACAGCCAGGTTTTCCTTCTAGATGTCTTTTAGATTAACAGCTATTCCCAAAGACACTAACTCTGCCTAGCTACATCACTTTAGTGCTGGCTTGACCTCTGAACCTAGCTGGAACACCACCGTCACATCTCTTTCCTACAGCTCTTACTGTCATGAGTGTCATGAGCCTTTCACATTTTATTTCCATCTGTCCTCAGGAACAAATCTGTCTTTATCATAAAAAACAACGAGAGGTCACTTAGTGATTGCTGTAGTGGCTCAGTCTGACTCCTACAGTTAAACCCAGTGGCCTCGCATGAAAAGGCCCTCCTTTGGCCAGTTGGTCTTTCTGTGCTCCAATTCTAGTTCCGCATTATAGCCAACTGGGCCTTTTTATTCCTCTACATATTTATTCCTGTCCTTTATCTGCTCACTTCCTCTAAAAATTCATAAGCCGTTTTATAGCTTTTGTACAACTTGCAAATCCGGCTTCAGTGCCATCTTTACACTAAAGCTATATAGTTGGGGTGGGGGTAAGGTGTGCTAAAGGCTGCACGTGGGGGTGAGAGAACACTTTGCAGGAATTGGTTCTCCTACCTTTTGAGTCCCAGGACTCAAACTCACGTAGTCAGGCATACTCACTGAGCCATCTCATCTCTGACACTCTTGTTTGTTTTAAACGAAGAAACAAAAAACCCCTTTCCTACTTCTTATTTTTTAGTATCCTGTCTTTTTGGTTTTGGTTTTGGTTTGAAACAGGCCTAGCTGACCTGGAACTCATGCTTAAAATCAGGCTGTCCACAAGTTTGTGGCAATCCTGCCTCTGCCACCAAGTGCTAGTGTCTACCACCATGCCTGGCTTTATTTCCTCTTGTCCCACGTTTATGTTTGTCAACTCCATGTGTGTACATTGTTCACTTTGCCAAATGCAAACCTGATTTTGTCACACTGCTTAAAGTCACCGAATGACTGCCTGTTTCAATGGCAAAAACAGATCCCTTCCTTGTTGACTGCAGAGTGCAGCATGGTGCAGCATGGTTCCTCTCACTTTTTGAGCCTCTTTGTCCCTCTGCACCTTAGCTACACTAGCCTTCAGTCCACTTACATTCTTATGTTTCACCGTGCCATGTGGCTTTTGCACGGTCTTCCCTCTGCCTAGAACCTCTTCCTCAAGCAAATCTTCCCTGGCCTTACTGAACCTTTAGACATTTCTCTTATAAACAGCACCACCTTCCTGTCTGTCACTGGTCACAGTTGAAGGTGTTTGTTCTTCCACAGGGTTTCACTATGTAGTCCTGGCTAGCTATAATTTTTCAATATTTCCCCACCACCCCTGCCTCTGCCTGCTGAGTTCTAGGATCACAGGCATGTGATACTTACTTGAGCAAGTTGCGTGGGTTTTGTGATTGATACCTAGCCCACCTACCACAGTAAACTCCATGATAGCAGAAATTGTATCTGGTTGTCCATCCTACTGTTCCCACAGTACATGCCACATAAAAGACGCTTACGGAACAGTTGCTAAGTTAATGTGGGGTTTTTTTCCCCACATTTGTAGCTTTCAGACATGAAACTTTGGTCATCAAGAGGGGTCTTAGAGAGGACTTAGTTCATTGTCATATTTTTGACCTTTTAACTTGGTCTAATAAAGAAGTAATATTAGACTTAGATTATTTGTTAAAAAGTTTGTCCTTTATATAAAGTGAGCTTGACATGGTACCACAGTGCCTACGATTCCAGCACTTGGGAAGCAGAGGCAAGAGCGTCTAAAGTTCAGAGTCCTCCTTAGCTACATAGCACGGTTGAGGCCCACATGGGCTACATGAGAGTCTATTTCAAGCGACAACAACAACAAAAGGTGGCTGGAGAATGGCTCAGCAGTCACTTGCTGCATAGTTATGAGAACCAAAGTTTAAATCCCAGACCACATAACTAGCTGGGCATGCTCATATACCTTTAACCCCAGGTCCAAGGGGATGGAGACAAGATCTCTGGGACTTGCTGGCTTTCTGCTAGCCAAGAAATGGAAGCCCTAGGCTCACGGAGAGACTCTGCCTCAAATGAATGTGCAGAAAGTGATAGAAAAGGATACCTAACACCCTTATCTGGCCTCTCAATACACCCACACACACATACATGCTTACACAGATACACATGAAAATAAATACATTTCTTAATAACAATATACATACTTATAAAGATAATTTTTCTGCAGTTTAAATCTAAATAATAATGTAATGACTTTTCCCCCATTGAGTAGGTGTGGTAATTCCTGTTCGTTTGCTTGCTGTCAGACAGGGTCTGGCTGTGTCATCCAGGCTAACTTCAAACCCATATTCTTTTGGTTTCTGCCTTGTGAGTACTGGGATTTGTGCACAGCAAACCCCACCACCACCACCAGTTGCAGCATGCAGTTCTTAAAACTATTTTTAACACTAATGGCATGATTTAAACAAATTTGGAAGTGTTTAGTTTAAAATATATTAACAGGGACACAATCAAGCAGTAGAGCCTTTTGTCCCCACAAATTTCAGTTTTAAGACCTGATTTAATTTGAAATTTAACCAGGTGTTCTGGTATCAAAAAATAGATCAACTGTTCATTAGAATGATCTGTGATTAGAATTCTCCTGTTTCAACTGTATAAGAAGAACTATGCAGAAGAGATGTCCCATTAGTTAAGACTGTGTACTGCTCTTATAGAGGACTCAGGTTTGGTTCCCAGCACTTGTGTCAGGCAGCTCACAACCACCTGTAACTTGAGACCAAGTGCAGTTTGATGCCTCTGGCCTCACTGGCACATACACACAATTAAAAAATTAAATCTTAAATGAACTGATTTTTTTTTACTTCTGTCATTTTTTATTTATTTTAAAATAATGTAATTATAGAAGAAGTCTCAAGCTGATATATACTTTATGAACATTTTAGTTGTGAGATTTCAATAAGTTAAAAGCCAAAGTAAATATACTTAACTATATTTTCCCTTGTTTTTAAAGAACTACATACATATTGGTATTCTAAGTAAGAAATTGGATCAGATGAGTACAATTTATTGATAAGCAGCTTGAGGCAGATTTGCAGTTAGTAGCAATTTTATGCTTTTTTTTTTAAACAGGAAAGAGACACTTTTCCTTTTTTTTTTTTTAAAAAAAAAGATTGACTTATTTTATGTATATGAGTACACTGTAGCTGTCTTCAGACACACCAGAAGAGGATGTCAGATCACATTGCAGATGGTTGTGAGCCACCATGTGGTTGCTGGGAATTGAACTCAGGACATCTGGAAGAGCACTCAGTGCTCTTAACCACTGAGCCATCTCTCCAGCCTGCAATTTTATGTTATATTTCAACATGTGTCCTTTAGTTTTACATTAATTTAACCAAGATAATACAGATGACTTATATTTAGCATACTCATATATACAAATGTGTGTGCAAGATTCTAATTAATGTGGTTTTTTATTTGCAGCCTTCATTACCCAATGTATGTAAGTACAATCTTGACCTCAGCACACTGTTAGACTCCAAGTAAGTCAGGCACGGGACTTACTAATTTTTAAAGTTACATTATAGAGAGATTGCAGGACAATTTGTAGGAGCCCCTTCTCTCCTCCCACTGGGTGCATGACCGGGACTCAGCTCAGGTCATCAGATGGGGCAGCAGATGCTCTTCTCTGCTGAGAGCCATCTTGCCAGCCCTTCCTTCTCCCTTTTACTGAAGCACCTCTGCTCATGCTTTGTTTATTCTTTGTTTTCTAGGAGAATGTGGATTATCTGATCCAGGAGCTCCGAAGACCCAAATACAGCATATATTTTATCTGTAAGTTCTGTAGTTCACTTTCCAAGTCATGGGTGTGTGTCCCAGCTCGTCTATGATACCGAGTAACTTGTATCATCAAGTTCATTGATCTCTTCACTTAAAAGCTTGTGTGTTCAAAGTGTTCAAAGTGGCAAAGTATTGTGGGGACTGAACTGATGGCTCAGCTGTTAAGAAAACGGACTTTTCTTCCAGAAGACCAAAGTTCAGTGCCCAGCACCCACGTGGTGACTCACAACCACCTGTAACTTCAGTTCCAGAAGATCCAGTGCCCTCTTCTGGCCTCCACAGATACTGCATACACATGGAGCACAAACTTACATGCAGGCAAAATATACATAAAATAAAAATGAATAAACCTTTAAAAATTAGGTAATTACTATCATTCTGTTTCTGAAATCAAAATAGTAATTTACATTCATCAGTGATTGCTTACATAAAAAGTTTTATTTCACTTTGCATTTTAAAGATTTATCTATTTATATATTTTATGTATCTGAGTACATTGAAGCTGTCTTCAGATGGCTGTAATGAGCATTGGATCCTATTACAGATGGTTGTGAGCCACCATGTGATTGCTGGGAATTGAACTCAGGACCTCTAGAAAAGCAATCAGTGCTCTTAAGAGCTGAGCCATCTCTCCAGCCCACACTTTGTATTTTAAAAGGCTGATTTATAAACCAAAAGTTATAAGTAGCAAAACTGCATGTTTTTCCTCCAGCGAGGTGTTTACTTACTCCTGCGTTTCACCTCTAAATTGAGGTATAGAAAGTACTTTGTTTTGGGAGAAGTATAAGAGAGATTATTGTGTTTGTTGTTTTATGTGATTCCTGAGAGGACACATTGCCAAGCAGTTACCTCTTGTATGCCCACATGGGGGTGTGTAAGAGGTAAGGCTGGAAATGAACTCAGTCCATGCCTACTCAAAATTGATTTGGATTTCCTTCCATTTGCTATGGAAGTTACAGTTGTCCTCCTCTAGGGGTCACCATTGCTCTTTGTAGAATCAGTAAAGTATGGCGCTGTTTCCAGAAACTAGGGAGCTAACTTAGCACCCAGAAAGTAGGACTCTTAGGCCTGGTGTGCTGGTGCATGCCTGTAATCCCAGCACTCAGGAGCAGAGGCGGACAGACCTCCACCACCCTGGTCTGCATAGTGAGTCTCAGACTAGCCAAAGCTACGTAGTGAGACCTTGTCTCAAAAACAAAGAGAAAAGAAAGTAGAACCTTTGAGAGGTTTTCAGGCTTTGGGGGGTTAGATTATTGTCTAAGATATATATATTTCTTTCACCATATATTACCATTTAATGATGCCAATGGTGGCACACACATTTAGGCCAGGCATCCTGGAGGCAGAGGCAGGCAGATCTCTTCCTTTGAGGCCAGTTTAGTCTACCAAGCAAGTTCTAGGACAGGCAGGGCTACACAGAGAAACCATGTCTCAGAAAAACAAAAAAAAATTAATGCCAAAAATTAACTTTAAATAATATTTTAAACATTATAAAGAGCTGTTTCATATTTTATTTCATTTGACACTTTACACATCTATTATCTAACAGGTAAAAATACACTTAATTCTTTTTCTAAGAATGGGTCTGCTGTCAAGCCAGCTTGGCCAGGTGTCTCTGCCTCTCACCATATGAGGCCCTGCACTTCTCTCCATAGCCTGCGAGAGGTCCTCACTACCTGTGGCCTCTAAACATTGCACTACAACTATGAGCCAATATAGAGCGCTTTTTTTTTTTAACTTTTTTTTTAAACCCAGTGATATTCTTTTTTTGTTTTTTGGTTTTTTGTTTGTTTGTTTGTTTGTTTGTTTTTTCGAGACAGGGTTTCTCTGTATAGCCCTGGCTGTCCTGGAAATCACTCTGTAGACCAGGCTGGCCTGGAACTCAGAAATCCGCCTGCCTCTGCCTCCCAAGTGCTGGGACTAAAGGTGTGCACCACCACTACTTGGCTGACCCTGACAGTGATATTCTATTGGCCCAGAAAACAAGCTAAAGTGATACTAGTTATAAAAACAACAGAGATACTGTGTGTCTTTTACCCAGTCTCCCTAATGTCGCATCTAACAGGACAGTGGTGCAGTGTTACAGTCAGGATATTAACCGTACACAGTCAAGCAGCACAGCCTTTCTGTCCCCACAAGGACCCCTTACGTTGCCCTTTTATTGACCATATCTACTTCTACCCCAGCGCTGTCATAACCCTGGCAACTGCCTCTCTGTTCTTCTTTCTGTAACATTTGTTGGTCTAAGAATGTTCTGTAAGTGGAACAGCACATTGCTTTGGGGTTGGCTTTTTTCATTCAGCACAGTTCTCAGGCTGTTGTATGCGTGAGTTAATTTCTCTTAACTCCTGAGTATTATTCCACTGTGTTCATTAACTCAGCACCGAAGGACATCTGACGTGTTCCAGTTCGACTGCCTGAGATGCAACGCTGTAAACCTCTGAATGGGTTTCTGCATGAACATGGCCTCATTTCTTTGGGATGAATGATAGCCAGTAGCACAGATGCTGGGCCATATGGTAGTGGCGTGTTTAGTATTTTCTGGAGGAACTACACTGTTGTTTCATATGCCCCTGGCAACGTCAGGGTAGTCCATGATCTCTGCACACTTGCTCTCATTTTAGCCAGTGTGGTAGGTGGGAGCCTCTGCCCAGCAGCAGTGAGGGAATGAAGAAAGACATACACACAGACATATGTGGAGGAAAGCTGGGCTTGGGTGTGCGTGTACACTGACACAGCAGCACCAACTATACACCAACCAGGAACCTCACCGAGTTTATTATGTACAGGGAAGGATAATGGGCAAGTGGTTTAGCTCTGTGGTTCTCAACCTTTGAGTAACAAATGAGCCTTTCCCAGGGGTCACATATCATATATTTATATTATAATTCATAACAGTAGCAAAATTACAATTATGAGGTAACAATGAAAATAATTTTGTGGCTGGGGATCAGCACAACATGAGGAACTGTATTAAAGCATCGCAGCATTTGGACATTTGAGAACCACTGATTAGCTAGTTTCCCAGGACAAATCTGTAGGAGAAAGAGCAGTCTCTAGCTGCAAACATCAGGAGGAGCATGCTGCAGTTGCTAGTCTTATACATACAGCCAACGTTCTAACTCCCACCAGAGGAAGACTTTGCCATCCATTTGAGCCTTGGGGCAAGGTTTTGCTAATTTCTCAGTTCACTAATTTTCTAATTTCTGAGGCATTGGTCCTTAATGTGGTTATGCCCAAGTGCAGTCATTTTTGTATTTTTTGAATCAAATTATAAGCTACAGCCTCATATATGCATACTTATGCATATATGAAATATGTGTCTTTGAGTTCTGTCTTTAAGTCAATATATAATAGAAGCATTCTCTTTCTGAGTTTCTTTTCTGAAAATGGAATGGGGTCATGTAGTAAAAGACCTCATTTCCTCCACACAGCCAGCATCCCTCCACAACAAAGAACAGTAAGTCTAGTGTTTATAAAGATTGTTTGATTTGAGCTAGAAATCTACAAAGCAGAAGAAAATTACATTAGTACTAAATCCTATAAAATATCAACTACTGAAAGTTTTAAGGTATAGTAACTGATCTCAGAATTTTATTTGGTTAAAGTAAGCCAAATAAATTACTATTTAGCAACTTTATTCATTATAGACTTTTAGCACAATTTAAGTTAACACTAAACTGGCCTGCTGATCACTGTCAGTAATTTGAAGTCTGCTAAATTTCTTACTCAACAGGCTCTTTTTGTTAAAGAAAACTATTTTTAAAACACTATAGAAAATATCAAATGCATATACGTAAAACAGTATGATTGTGATAAATCCTAGTGTACCCAGCCACACACAGTCTTGTTTTAATATGTTCCCGTCTTTTGCCCACCAATATTTTTTAAAATGAATCTGAGATGTCATATAAGATTTATTCACCAGTATTTTATTATGCATCTTTAATAGAGATAGATTCATGTGGCTAGAAATGAAAAGTAACTCTGTTTTCAGGAACTCAATTTAGTTGTCAGACTTCAAATTCTCTTCTGTCTGTCTGTCTGTCTGTTCATCCATCTGTCCATTCATGCAGCCACCCATCCATCCATCCATCCATCCATCCATCCATCTATCTATCTATCTATCCATCTATCTATTCATCCATCCATCCATCTATCTATCCATCAATCCATCTGTCTCTTCATTGTTTGAGTTTAGACTAAAGTTAAGGACCACTTATCAAATCTTACTGGTCAATATGCTGAGTTTCCCTGATTTCCTATAGGACCTCTTCTTCTAAGCAGCTGGTTTACTGAGGAAGCAGTTATGTTTTCTACAGACTCCATCTTCCTGATGTCATCAGCGTGGGGTAGTTCTACATACTCCTTCAAGTTAAAATGTCCCTTTATCCATGTAAGTCTGTTAGTGGATAAAGAAGCTTAAATGGATTAAGTTTTGATTTCTTTTTGGCAAGAATACAAAATAGGTGATTCTGTATAGTGTCCCTGGTCTTTTCTCCTAGTGAGATTGTTAGTGAAATTAATGTTTACAGGTTATTCAATAGGAGTTGGAAAAATTGTTGGGGAAATAGGAGTTGGGGAAATTCTATCATTCACATTCCATGGGATTTTTAGATGAAAATGTTTCTATAGAAAAAAATCTTCCCTCATCTTTTATTTAATACAACTTACATATGAAAGAGAGGAGAAAGGTTTGCTTATTCCCTTATAATAGCCATCTAAGGTAACTATTTGAGTTTGTAGTGTCCTCCTATGTCTTCAGTGATGGTCTTTTTTAAAGTATTAATGTGGGGATTTAAACATATTTGTGTGCCTTATTCCAGCCTGAAGGTATATGGCTTTGTCGTGTGCCTTTAGGCTTTACCACTGGCCTGTTTACGCCTAACTGCAGCAAAACTGATGCTGTTTGAGTCCAATGCAGTGTGTCTGTTTCAGATTTCAGTAATGTGATCAGCAAGAGTGACGTGAAGTCGTTGGCTGAAGCTGACGAGCAGGAAGTTGTGGCTGAAGTTCAGGTAAAGGTGTGGGTCCTGGAGCATCCCTTGAGTTGACCTGTTAAAGGATTTTAGTCTAAAAATAAGGAAGGTGTTGTCTGGTCAGACAGAATCAATGTGCACATACCAGACTAGGCTTATGTTTAGAAAGTTTGCAGGAGGTTCTAAATTTTGTAGAAAGAGAAGTCATGGAATCAGCAGGAGGGAGCAGAGGGGCTGATTCACTGGGGGGACATTTTCACAGTTGGGGAAGAGTCAGGTGTGCTCCTTGTTAGTTCATGGGAGTTCCTGGGCCTCACTTTACACACCTTCATCAGTAAGACTGCGCACAAGAGGAATCAAAGGATGAGTGAGGGTTTCTCATGCTCTGTTTGAGAGACTTATAATTTGGGGACTAATAACCAGCCTTTGCTACTAAGTTAAAACTTGGAAATTTCTAATCATTTATTTTATATGCTATATGATATATAACACTAGCATGTATACTGTTATTTTAAATTTTTCAAAAAGATGTTCTAGGTGATATAATATATAAAAAGAATGATTTTAAATCATATTCTCCCATACAAGAATACACTTGGCACATAATATGGTGTAGCCTACATATGTTTTGCTTTTTACTAATTGAAAATTTACTTTGGTGTGTATACTTCAGCTTTTTAAAAGAACATTTATCATTGCTGGGTTTTTTTTTGGGGGGGGGGATTTCGAGACAGGGTTTCTCTGTATAGCCCTGGCTGTCCTGGAACTCACTCTGTAGACCAGGCTGGCCTCGAACTCAGAAATCCGCCTGCCTCTGCCTCCCAAGTGCTGGGATTAAAGGCGTGCGGCACCATTGCCCTGCTGTTTTTATAGTTAGTTCAATTCCACCATACTGACCATTGCTACTCGAACATCTTGTAGGTCTTCACCTTATATGTTCCCATTTGACTGTGGTACTTGATACAGCTGCAGTCCATAGCACTCAGTACAGCAGCAGTCCATAGCACTCAGTACA